GAGCTACCATATGCTGAAATTTACTGTTGCATTCGATACTCTGTTTTTTTTTTTTAACCGAGCTTTAGTGTTTAACACATATATACTCTGTAAGAGAGTTAGTTATATCTTTTACTCAATTCTGAGAGTAAATCGCGAGTGTGGACTCTTGAGGGGATTGTAACCTTACGGGTAGTAAGGGGGAGTGATTGAGAGATTCAATTGCTATACTGAGGCACCAAGAACCCGTTTAATCTTGGGGACCTAGTGGAAATTTTAGCAGCACTCTGATGACTAAACGTAGGTCAAATGGTTGAGACTGAACCAGTATAAACTCCTGTGTCATCATTCTTCGATGAAATTTTCCAAACTCATCTCCACCGTTTTATTTGTTTAGTTATTTTATTCAGTTAAATTTTTATATATCACCCAATTTACCCCCTTCTTGGGTGAAACTGCTATTAACAAAATAGTCTCATAAGCAAAGTTCCACAACTATTTTAATGATACCCATAACAAGTAAAAAAGCTATGCATGCTATTTAACAACAAAAGGTTCCAATCACAGTAATAAGTTACTCAAAATTCGCATAAAAAACCATATACAAATGGGAATAAATCAAACAACCAACATCTCTACCAAAACCAAGTCTTAAACACTAGGAAACAGCCCATATCATCTATTTAAGTTTAAAAACAACAAACAAACCAAAGAGGAGCAGCAATCATGAGAGTAAGAAAAATGACGAAGAGAAGAGAAGAAAGCTTCAAATGGTGACAAAGAACTCGATGGCGCCGGCAACGGAGAGGCTATTGATGTTGAAAAGTAGAAGGAATCATCGGTGAGTGGTTGTCATTGAGCTTTGGCGTAGGGTAGGGGTGTGGGACCATGAAGGCAAAAAAGTTTGGGGGAAAAAGATGAAATTGAACTTGCAAGGATTCTGTTTAAAATTTAAAAACTTTTAACTGCAGTTATTAAAAAAATGTCGTGAAAAATTCTTTTAACGTATTTAAAAAAGTAAATGCTGTTAAAAGAGCTTACCACAGTGCTTCTATAAAAGCTGTGGTAAGTTGAAAGGTTTTTGCCCATTCTTTTACTAGGGGACAGGGCTTTTCACGGTAGTTTTTTAAATAACCATTATAAAAAGTTTAATTTACTGTCACATAATTATAAAAAAGTCACTGTCTTTTTTATGGCGTTTTTTCTTTTAACCGCCCTGAAATGGCATCATTAAAAATATTTTTCTAGTGGTGATGGCATGCATGTTGAGTTTTGCTTGGGGACGATGATTTCCAAATCTGATAAGGAAAAAAACTTCCAGATTATGGGTGCTGTCGAAATATTTATGGAGGCTAGGGAGTGTCTAAATGGTAGAATAATCAATGAGTATTTTTATTTTTGGTAGCGTGAAGTTAGAAGCTTCAAGAGTAGTGAAAAAGTTTAGACTAAAAACTTGTCAAAACCCACTGTTTGATACTTTCCAAATGCTAAACAAATATCTTAGATTATTTAAGCATGCATAAAGATTCTAAAATGATGATTAAACTGTTATTCTCGAAGCTGGAAAATTTTTTGAGAATTGTACAATGGGGGGCTATCCGAATTTTGAAGGGAGTAAAATTGTACCAAAAGCTAATGGGCTTGCATTATATAGTTTTGGTATGATGTATGAAATAGTATGCTTGTTAAACTTGGATTTGGACACAAGATTTTGAATCTGGAAAATATCAGATTAAAAGACGATGAAATATTCAAAATGAGAAAATAGTTGAGTTGTTTAAGTGCTACATATAAAGGGATCATGATGGTGGATATGTTTATTGAATTACAAAATTTCTGTGACCGAAAAGGGTAAAATGACACTGTTTTGAGATGTTGTAGCATGAAACAAGTGCCTTATTAAATTCCCAAACCACACATAAGATATGTATGATATAGCGCCTAAGTTGTGTTTGGTAGCAATAGAAGTAAGATGTTTAAATTTTCAATACTCCCCTGTTGCGAACATGCAGAAAAGGGATTCAAAAGACAGGGATCCAGAATAATTTCCAAGGTGCTCAATGAATGAGGAAAGCGTGAAATGCTTAAACGGGATGGTTGTAGACGTGCATAACTTTTAAATTTGAATGTTTGGAAGCTGAAACATATAAAGGAAGGCTCACTGCTTTAGGTACCATAATGTGGAAGAAGTGATTTAAAATTCTAAGCCACACTTAGCTTGGAATGTATATTTAAAGGCCCCGAAGATGTGAGCGGTGATAAAAGCATTAAATTCATAATTTCCTTTCTTTTTCCCTGTTTCATCCAGCCATGGTTTTTATGGGCAGGATTGAACTTTGCTTTGGGTTGATTCGCTTAATATGTTTAGAATGGTAAATTATATAGACAAGTGCCAAAAAAAAAATGCATATGCGCAAATAACGCGGCCAAAGGGAAAATTAGGTAAGGGCGGGCTACATTTTTTTTTTTGGTCACAAGGGCTAGAATTTTATATTTCTAAGATTAAAAAGGAAATTCTTATATAAAATTATGTGGAAATAGCATAAGGAAGGAATTTCTAATGAAAAGGATAAGTGGGTCAAAAATTGAAGTAAAAGAAATGAAACTAAGAAGCTAAATGATGGAGGTTTAGAATTTGGGGCTAAGGGAGAGATTAATTATACAATTTAATCAAGTGTACCAAAATGTGTATGTTAATATGCCGCCATATACATAATGGACAGGTTTTTGTTTGAGCCCAGATCACACAAGAAAGCAAGAGTAATTAAGAGGAGCAATGAAGGAGAGTAAGTTTAAGAAAGATTTTGCGAAAGATAGTAAAACTTATTAACTCCTATATAATTTATGCTTGGTTGCTTACATATTTATTTGCCACGTATACTGTAATCAGGCCTTTGTACATGTAACATCGTTTCTTGAGTTTGTGTTTGGCAATGTGTATTTTCTCATACGGTGTTTGTTCTTGCATTGGTTATTCATATGCTTAATTAATTATAATTACGCATTATCTATTAAGGGGCTGTTTGGTTATCATCCCAAACTATGGTTTGGGGAAAGAGTCAGCCAAACACTCTGAAAAAATAGGAAACCATGGTTTGGGGTAAAACCATAGTTTCGGTCCCCAAAACCATGGTTTCAGCTTAAGCAGGTCTCACTCACTTCTGGCTGAAATTTATTTGATCGTTGGTTGCTATGGGCCCACGCTATATGACACAACAGCCTCAATTATTCTTCCTTTCTTTCACTCTTCACTCAATTATTCAGCCTTTACTCCTTCGCTATACTTTGTGTTTATCGCCTTTTTTTTGTGTGGTTATTCAATTTTTTGAAAAAAAATTATGAACCTAACGTTTAAAATCTTTACACTAAAAAAAAAAATTTTTATTGGCAAAATAAATCATTTACACAAAATATATTTAATTATTTTATAAATATATATACACATTTATTATTTATTATTTACATTATTTATGTCTTATTTATTATGTTGGCAAAATATATATTAGTAACAAATCTATTACTTCAATTAATCATATATTACAAAATATATCTTTTATGTAACTATCATTTAAATTTATGTCCTTTTTAGTAATTCAAAAAATTACTTTTGATAACAACTATCCAAACGCTTTCACTTTATCAGAATCACTTTTTCACAAAATCTATTTTCTCAAAAAGCTATTCTCCAGAAGCTATTCTTAAAACCATAGTTTGAGTTTATCCAAAAACCCCCTAAATTGATATTTTGTTATTGACATCCTTCCAAATCTCACATTTTTCTTCCATGTACCAACCTAAGAACAAGAACTTCCATGGGTAAAAGCGAGTTAGCGAAGGAAGGTTGGAGGTGGAATTTTTGTTGAGAAGCTTATTTTCCATTATTACTTTATTTAAATTGGCTTTCATTTTGTGCATGGTTGCTGTACGTAATTATTTAATATTTTTGTATAAGTTGATCATAAACTTTGGTAAATCTCCATAAAGAAGGTCAGGAAAGCTAAGCACATATGCCAAGGTAAGTCCCATGCTAAGTAGTTGTCAAAGATGCATGGGGAGTATTGCGTAGGTATTTCAATTCCTTTATTTGCGCCTCAGATTTGTGACTGCTTAGAGACAGGAGGGAAACGTGTGGGTTAGATTATGTAATTTTGCAGGGAAAAAGTACACATCTAGAGTTTTGAAATGAGTCTTAATCCATAATTTTTGGACGTGTACATAAAAAAAGAATTTTCAAAATGAACAATGAAAACAGAATTATTGGGAAAATGCAACTTCCAGTTTTGAATAATTGGAGATTTTGGAAGATCTGGGTTAGAGGTTTAGGTGGGTCTTATTTTTCTCCCAAGGAGTTTTACAAGAGCTTCAAATTGAGTTTTGAACGACTTCAATTGGATTTGTAGAGCTAGTTATGGATTTTCAATGTTTTGAAGAAAATCTTATTCTAAATTAAATGAACAGTACCCATGATGTTACACAAGGTTTTAAATTTTCTCAACTAATTGGGCCTCTACGGGTTTTTAAATAGCTAAACAATTCTAATAAGTGACTTAAGTGTGACATATTTTTAGAACACTTGTTCAGTATTCATTAGTTTTTTGGTTCCAAGATGTTAACTTTTCATGTTGTCCTTATTATTCATTGTTTATTATACCTATTTTCTAGCTAATTTGAAATTTCTGAGTTTTATAGGATAATCAAATTCCTAGAGGGTCCATATCTTGTAAATAGAAACGCAAATGGAGAGATGAGACACAGATCAAATCGATCAGAAAGTTCATAATAACTACAGTTAGAAGTAACAAAAATACCACACAAAAGAGAAGCCCTTTCATCATCTTGCTATGAACAGTAATTTTTAAGTAAACTTGATTGGTAAATCAAGCTAATTATATGAAGATATATAAGTATATCAACGATGTGTTTATGAGGATGACATCTTTCGCATACTTATTTATCTCATAATAATTAACTCAATCTTTTCATAGTCAAATCAAGTTTACTTAAAAAATTTATCATTTTCTTCATGATGGAAAAGAAAGGGATGCAACTATGTGAAAGAACTGAAGTTGCTCTAATAGTTCTTTGGCATGAGCTGTTGCTCGTTGCTCCACTCTAAGGTACAGCTTCTCACTAAGTTTGTCGCCGATGTGGGCATCCACGAGGACGCCAGACACGCTTCGGCAACTGTTTGCCAGAGCTCTCCCGACTTCAGTTGCATCATCTGGTTGGTTCACCACAAGAGGGCTTCCTCCTTTGAACACCTCAAGCTTGTTTATAGCGAATGAGCCATCTTCTTCCACCACTTCTTTGAAGTCTTGCAGGCTTGGTGCATAAATTGGGATATTGAAATTATCTCTTTGCTCACTGCTAATCAGCCCCTGTCGGAAGAAGGGGAAATAAAAAACTCTTTTACTAAACAATTAAAACTTTAAAATGTTAATGTCAATCCTTCTACATGAAAGTGGGTTAGGTTAAAAGGGAACACATATACTTATATCTTACACAAAAAAGTTTAAAAACTGAAAGTTGTTCGGCAAATTAACAGCTAACTAAAGTGGTTTTAATTTGTTGAGATTTCATAGTTTATCTTTTTAGTTGTTTCCTCCTTCAGCACAGGATTTTCCATCTTTTTGATCACTCATAGAAGATTATGCAACAAATCTCTGAGATCCATGAATTCTGATTTTTTTTTTATTACTGCAATATCCATGTTAGTTTAACACAGGATAAACATAGCTCGAATGATTTGGATTTGTAATATAGAGGAAACATAAAAACTCTATTCCAATGGTAAAATTGACTTACACATACACAAATATTTCCTAACTGGTGATTGAATAGTTTTTCTCATATATCAATCAGCCCTGGTTGATGTCTGCTTCGTACTGTGATAAATGAAGCTAAGTCTGATGTATTGTGATAATTTTTATCTGCATCAGAGCCTAATAATAAATATAATAATTGTCTCCTCCAAAATTTTCTTCAAATTGTCAAGATGGGTGTATAATGACCCGATAAGGAAATTAAATAAAAAATTATACTTCTATTAGATGCAAAACAAGAAAAGGAGAGGAACTCCATAAAAAGTAATAGAAACCACGCATGCACGCACGATCCATTCTTATTTGCAGCAAGTTCGATATAATTTTAGACGCAATTTTTTAATGTACAAGAAAGATATTTTTAAATAAAAAACAATTGTCCAACTTGATAAGCTACAAAAACAAATATCATTGCGCATATACTTCGTGAAGTTTATAATAGACCGATAATTAAGGATCACTTTAGTCAAGCTTAAATTGTTAATTGAATTATTTTTATTCTGTTATTGTATATATCAATCCATAAAAAGGTCCTTCTTTATTAACGTGCTACTTTTTAGGGGGTAGGTGTCAAAGTGATTGAAACTAGACTTGATTGGCTTGAGAGCATGTGAAGGAGATAATTTATTTATTTTGATTGGTTATGTGAAGGAGACAATTGATTATTCCAAACCTATGTTAAAAATTAAAATAAACAAGTATAATAAATAAAACCCACAGTCCACACTTTCCTGTGAGCCCGAAAAGGACCAAGAAAAGCTAGTGTGCCATTGGTATAAGTATCTACAAATTAAAAAGTGTCTTTATGTTCTATAGAATGAGAGCGTACGTCCACTACTGTTTATGACAAATGTGCCCCACGAATACTTGAAACGGTTTAAATTCGTAAAGCCACCCTATTATGAAGGTCTTATTATGTTCATTGTACTCTCTTAATTATAGTACGTGCATATTGAATGTGTCGCATGTTATTGTAGAAGAGGATAACATAGGAGTACTTATATGCTTCTAGATTTGTCATAAGACATTGTTGGATCCTCTATATATATATATATATATATATATATATATATATATTACCATAATCATCATGCAAAGAGAATGATAAAATGAATGCGAGATATAGGTTTTTAATCGAATACATTTAGCAAAGCTTATTTAGTTTGCTTTGATTTAACAGACATCCTCATGCTCTTGTTACCTAGCTAAATACCATAATAAATAGGAAACCGTCATCTTACGACTTACTTCCTTTGCTCCTAAATATGGGAGTCAGTTGAAGGGTTTAATTTAGCTCTAAAGTAATATATTAATAATCTACTTTCTTTTGCAATATATATTTGTTACAAATAATTAACTAAACTATAGTTCTTTAAACTTTGTATGTTAGTTATCTAGTTCCTATATTTAGAGTCAAAAGGAGTTTAATGAATGACATGATATGATAGGAGCTAGCTAGATGAAGGGTTTAATTTAACTCTAAAATAAGACGTTAATTTACTTTGTCTTCTAGTATACATTTGTCACAAATAATTAACTTGGCTAATAATTTTTGAAACCTATAACAAATGACTTGATGTGATGATAATAATGGTCAAATCAAAATAAGCAAACAAGATTATACCCAGGAAAAAAAAAAAAAAAGCAAACAAGATTTCCTGACTAGCTACACATGACATCATAAAATCAGACGGAATATAATGAATCCAAATCCATACTACTCTTTCGGCTTTGTTGGAAGACATTGATATATTCTCACAATGATGATATAAAAAAGAATGATGAGATGAAAGCAAGAAGAGTGCCATAGCTAGCCTCCTTGTCTAACTTTTAAGATATGAAGATGATTTTAAGTGTCTTAACCATCCAAAACCTAATAATTTGGTCAATATTTCAGACCACCCATCCACTACCTACCCGGCACGCACTTGATCATATTCTTTCATAATGGGTGGGGCTCAAATGTGTCAAATTTGCCTAACAAATCATTACGAACAAAACTCACAATAATAATGATGATGGATGGTTTTCCAGTTGGAGTGAAGGAAGGATGGGGCATATTACCTGTTGGATCAGATCATCCCAAGCGTCCTGAAAGTGGGTCCCAAAGAGGAGGCCGGCCCCACCTTGGTCGGTGGGGTCCAGGGAGGTCCGACCAAGGCAAACCAAGAACATGGACCCACCCTTCTTCATCTCCTGGGCTCTTGCCCTCAGGAAAGCAGCCAGATCTGTCTGAAACTGTTTCCTATATGCATTCGTTGTGCTCTCACCTGCTCCGTGTATGAACACTCTTCCTTTGTTGTATCCACTTCCTCTTTTGTCCAACACACTCTGAGGCACCTGATTCATATGCACCCATTGTGCGTCACTTCTATCATGTATTGTTTGTATAACAATATAGTTTTATTTATTAGTCACTTTCAACATGTTTTACTAAAATGAAGGAAAATATTAAATCCCATTAACTGTGTCTTAAAATTTAACAACTTTCCAGACTTTATTTAATTAATGCTTACACTTTCTAAGAGAATATTAATCTACACAATAATAACTAAAGAGTACAATGGTACATTTCTGTTAAATATTACATGACATGGATGTTGTCGTGAAATATAATATCAATTACTCTATACTTTTAGGAGAGATCTCATAGTAATTTAGGAAAAGTATGTTATGAAACATGCATTCATTTTATGCACAATCAATTAGTATTCATCAAAATTAGAAGAGTCACAAGAAAGAATTAGAACTTATTTTGAAATCAAAATATGAAGAAGGCGAGATTCTAAGGCACGCATATAAAACAAAGTTTATTTGATACAAAATTTTTCTGCAACATTACATTTCTTTTTAATATTTGTTAAAGTAGTGTGGAACTGATTAATTATTAATTAATATTTGAGTGCTTGATTTCAGATTAGGACAAAAGATTTTCCTGTTTTTTTAAAAAAATATTCCTTACCTATTTGTCAAACACTCAAACAAAGTTAAAATTTCACTAGTAAAGTACTTAATTTTGTTTAATATAAGAGCCACTTAACTAATTTAAGTAAATTAAAAAAATTAGTTAAATTAGTTATTCGTACCAAATATGAGTTGATTTTCCTGAAATATCTTTTTTAATCATGACTATTCTTGAATGGAAACATTTTAATATGTATAATCAATAAGGATATTTTAAAAAATGAATTATATATTTGGGAGATACAATGAATTGAAATCTTACATTTTTTTTTTGAACAAAACTGAGATCTTACATTTAATTAAAACCAAATTTAATCTTTAACTAGATCTTATATTAAGGACCAGATGTAGTAGTAATTACAGGAGACTGTCTTTTATTATATGTAACGCACTTTGATATGTTTGAGGCTTTCACAGACACATATGGTTATATTGCAATACATAATTCATAATTTAACAATTAAAGTAATAATAAAACCTTCTCTCACACACTGAACCATTGTTTCCCACAGACACAGAAGTCCTTGTTAATCAAATCCTGTGAGCCCATAAAGATTTAAAAAATGCAGAAAAAGAGAAAAATTATTATGTTCTTACTATGCATGCATCCAAAATCACAGCCCACCTACGTCACTTTGTCGCTTAGATATTGTCTATGTTATTTTCATCCCTAACAGGCTTTTTATCTGTAGGATCAAGATATTCAATGTATCATTTTAAATTATCCTCGGGAAGTGGCATATTAAATTTTTTCTTTCCCAGAGAAAAAGGTACTAATTTGACCCCATTGATATTCCTTGAGTGTTTTGCGGGGTGAAACTACAAGAAAGTTATAAAAGGAGGGAGTTATGCTTTAAAGTGTCATTCACACAAAAAAGCCTTTATGAAAGTGGGAGTTTCTAATCAAAAGTTTTCATGAGTGATAGATAGGAAAAAGACACAAGCAGAGTTAAAAATCTGTGTATGGAATGGAATGAATAATTTTATCTGACAGTGGAAGAATAAAGTCTAAATTCTAGCTAAAAATCTTCAATCAAGAAATAAAGTTTTGTATTCATCTCTATTATCTATGAGAAGCTAAGGTAAGATCCTAAATACTAACTTCAAACTGGCAAATAATAAATATAACAAAAGAAAACTAAAAATGAAATACGAAGAGCCCATGTGCAGCTATATCTTGAGTCAACGATAAAAAGAAATCCGCTTGAATATTCATAGGTAGAGACATTTGTTTGAGCTGCATGAATATTCATATCATGAGTCATGTAATTTTAACCTGAAATCTTTAAGTAATTAATGAAATTCAATTTTCAAACACTTGTGTTAACAAAAGTAAAAGGCGCATTATTTATCCTTATTTTAATTAAAATATGACGGATAAATATTTTTTAAAGCCTAGTATCATAATTTATTGGCTCTTGAAAGGTTTTCCACAAATATCTAAAGGTAGTAAACTAATTATAAACTAATGCCTCAACATCGATGTAAGAAAGAAAAGAGACAATTATTAGTTAAAGCCTAACCTGAGACAGCCAATGCAAAGAGAAGGCAGAGTGAAAAACATCAATGGACCTCATTGGAAACAGCCTCCGGTAGAAGGAGCCGGGGACTCCAGCAGCAAAGTAGGAGCGGTGGTTGTTGGCGGCGAGGCATTCCTCCATGCTGACACCATAATTGGTGGTAAGCATAGGAGGAAGCAGCTGGAAGAGAGTGTTGAAGTCATTGCTGGGAAGATCAGAGAAGAAAGCTGAAAACTCCGGCGGGTCGAGGCCTAAGGTCTCATAGCGCTTAATGATGTGGTTGATGATGACGTCCACCACATAGATGGTGTTGTTGCCACAGGAGCAGCCCAAGTCCACAACCACAAAGGGAATATCAGGATTGTTCAATTGAACCCTGTCTAGGGTTTCTTTTAGAAGATGAAGCATGGAACGAGCATGAATAGCCTACAAGAATAATAAAAAGAATCATGCGCACTGTGTATTATCTACTCAAAAAAAAGAGCATCATTTTTAATTAAAGAATAAAGAGAAAGACGATATACCAAGCAATCCATGTATTAGAATGGATTATGTACATTTATATATATATGTTAATAATTTAGATTTTTGAAAAGAAAAATTAAAACTAATCTCTTGTAAATGTATCAAAAACCTGTGGAACGCCAGTGAACCTTTAAAAATTATTCACAGAAGAATTTTTGTTTGAAGCGACAATGACGTTAAGTACAAGATCTTGAGTTTAAGTCGGTGTAAATGGGAAAAACACTTTCAGAATATCTATTGGGTCTAATAATACTCAAATCTAACATACTCAGATAGACATATATATTAAATAAAAAATAAAAAAAAAGTGTGAGGGAGAGATAACAACAAAAGATTGGCTTCACTTCTCCTTACTCTCTCGCTATGTCTTAATTTTAACATCGTTCATTGTTGGCCACAAGTTTTCAGGCCATTAATTGAAGAAATATGATTTCATATGTTAGAAAAAAGCTAACAAAATGAAAGATCAGCTTAAAATAATCCCCCAAGACACAAATTAATTTATCGTGGAGTTACACACACACACACAGAGATGAGAGTTTATGACCTGAGCTTGTGAGTTATTGGCGTAGCTGCCTTCACCTTTTCCTCCTTTCATGCTAAGAAGTCTCTCAAGCTCCATATTTGACACAACCACGTTGTCTCTCTTAAGAGCCATAGCTTCTAATAGCTCTCTTACTCAACGAACCACTATGTATATATAGCTCTATTCTCACTCAAACGTAGCAAAAATGGCAGACAAAGAGTTCATATTTATACTGACAAAACAGGACACCATGTTCGCTTCTATAGGCAGATGCAAAGGACCAACAAGTTGCAAGTAATTATGGTTGTTAGTGTCGTTATTATTATTGGAAATATTATTATTAAGAAAGTCAATTTGAAAGAAAAAATAAAGTGAAAATCTTTAACAAACACAAAAGAAGACTCAGAAATCTCAGGACAAGAGATCATAGGCTTCACATGCAACAAAGGAGGGGCCCAAGATTTCCGCCGGATTTTTATTTCTTCCACACCGCAAGAAAAAATTCTTCAAATATTCACACTAATATACGTGCGTACGTCTCTCTGTGTGTGTGCTTTTTTTTTTTTTTTCTGGAGCTAGCCAGGGAGGGGACGTTATTATGAACGGAGACATATTTTTAATATATAAAATACTACCCCTAGTTCTTAATAGAAGACCTATACATCTATTTTTAGTAGATTACAAAAATTACTTAAATTACTTATTTGTCAGAAATGTATGTTAATTTCTTTAAAATACCTTTTTAAATCATTTGCATTGAAACTATCTTTTAACATGTGTAATCAATAAGAATAATTTTAAAAAATAATGATAAATACAGAAGAAAAGGAGGATTAAGATCTTATATTTATAATTCAATCCAACTTCCGACTAGCTCTTAGGTATGTATTATATTTGGCTTCGGAAAAATATCATCATTCAGGAGACTAGGTTAATGAAGGAAAAAAAGTGCAGTGAGACAAGATATGTATATATCCATAATCATAACATTTTCTTATTTAGTTACGGACAGGGTAAAGTAAGTAAAATAAGAAGAAAAAAGAAATTGAGGTAATAAAAATAAAGACTTCAAACTCATCCAAAGGTAACAGTACTTGTGGGTCCAAACCAAATAATATTGTTTTTGTAGTTTGTAGCGTGTTTTGGGTGCAAGTTATGAACACATTCTAGCAACATCGCCATCAACCGTAGTATTACTAAAGCTTGAATTCCATACTTGCCCACAGAAAAGAGACAAAATTACATATGGTTGAAATTTGACGAAATTAATAATTAATGAAAGATAAAAAATTGAGTTATTTTTATGAATAAAAAGATCAGCTGATTGTTTGACCAACGTAGGTTTTTATACGTTGTGAAAGCACTTAAGTGATTGAAATTTTGATTTCTTCTTGTGTTTGAACTAGGTTTATCAGTAAGTAACTACTTTCAGTCCTTATATAAGAGTTAAATAACTACTTTATGGATATTAAAGAAAAGAGTTAAACTATTTGTAACACATTTTATTGATTTTTCCAAATTATCCTCTTTAACTAAGTATTGAAATTCCTCTTTGATTGGAAGCTCTCTTGGTACATACAATTCATAAAGATACTTAGAATCAATTTGAAAGGCAAAATAGATTGATGTTTTGTATTTAGAATCAAGATAAATTCCTTGTTTAACTTATATATTTATGATCAGAGTAGTAGTAATTAGGAGGGGTTTCAAGGAGAACAAAAGTATAAAAATGATTCTTTTCTGAGCGAATGAAAATGTCTTTATGATTTAAGACTTAAAACCATGTAATTGTAACTTTCTAACATTTATTTTGTCCAAAAAAAAAAAGTTTCTAACGTTGAAATTAAAGAAAAATAATACTCGTATGTTAAAAAATCTAACGCTTAATTACAATCTGAAAGTTATTTTAGAAAAATATTGTATTTTAGAAAACACGTACCATAACTGGCTAATAGCGTGAGTAGGTAATAAAACTAGGAAAGTGGCAACAAAATAAGAACCTGATTGAAGCCTCATGCTGTACGGTATCAAGATCCGTCGGTGACGGAGAACAATTTGAGTTCTCAGGTCGTTCATTGTAGATTTCATCAAGTGTGGGTTTTTAGACGTAATTTTCGCTGGATGAAACCAATATATCCATCGATGATATATTAATTATATTAACTACGTTACACGTAAAATCCAATGCGAGATCGAGGGATTTAAATAACTAATATACTAGGAATTATTGACTAATGATACGTATTAAACCATCAATTATGTGAGAAAACTGAAGATTACCATCATTAATTATTATATTATAATGTTACGTAAGTTTTCTTTGACACTTCAAACTACGCTTTGGTAATATAAATTTAAAATCCTGATAACTCTTTAACGAACAACTTTAACGTTATGTTAATGTTTTGCTTGAGAAAGATTAATTACACTTGTCGGCATTATTTGGCTTTATTATAAAATAATAGAGAAGTCAAAGTGATCCATAAAAAGCCAAATGATGATTAATTATTTATTTATTAATTAAGTATTGATCGCCCCAGAATTCAAGTTCAGTTTGTACCTAACTCTTCCTGAACAACACAATACTGGCCTAGTCTTTTTAAGCGGTTAAATTAGTAATAAAAAAATACTTTTGACCAAAAGTTAGTTAAAAACATAGAATTAAGGTGTATCCATGACTCTTAATATATTTTTCTCGTAGCATTTGATATCCTAAATTAAAACAATATCTAGTGCAATTTTATTTGTTCTTAAAAGATTTTTTCAGAAGCTATTTTACCTTTAAAATAATTTTTGTTTTTGATTAAGCAAGGTACGATCCCATTAGAGGTCTATATGAGGCATATTATCAGATAATAAATGTGTACACCACTGCTAACAGGAATTTAAATTTTGATTCGTCATGCTATAAAACAAGTCTTTTCCATTATACTTGTCTCCTCTTGGTCCCTTATTTTTTATGTTGCACTCAACATCCTAAGATAATTTTTTGATGCTATTTTGATCTTGAAATATTTTAAAGTTAATTTTATTGTCACTATTTTTTTCATAATTTCAGTATTCATTTTTCATATTTTTAAGACTCATCTTTAACATTGTTAATAATCAATTTTTCAATTTTTTCAATAGTGATCTTAAATATACTCATCTTCTATATTTTCCAACATTAATATTTAATTATTTACAGTGATGAGTAAAAATCGAGTAGAAGCTTTCCAATTCTTGAGTAGTTCTCTTAAATGTTTCCAATATTTTTCTTCCACGTTTTTAATACTAAAAATAATTAAAGATTATGGTTGAAAACATGAAAGATAAGCCTTATTTAATTCTTAAAAAAAAAATACTTTAAGGATACCATTAAAAAACCTTTTATGGTGCTAGATGCATTTTAATTCTAAAATCATGGGCTCCACTTAACGATGAAGTCAAAATTGCTTCTAAAAATTACTTTAAAAGCAAAAAATACTCTACATATTATTTTAGGATATTTAAGTATCACCAGAAAATTACTCTACCATACATATCAAGTCACCTTCGCAACTATAGCCACAAGTATTTATTGTCATACTCCGTTCGGTCTATAAGATATAAGATATAAATAATCAAATGACGCAGATAAAAATAGTGGTTAAACTTGATAGAAACAATAAATAGGTAAAACACATATTTTATATTTCCAAAATATCCCTACTGGGGAGAGAGATTGTGAACGAGGAAGAGATAATTAAAAAGCATAATTAATGCAGTAATATAATATGCAATTAATAGAGGCTAAAAGGGGAGAAAATTATTTAAAATTTCATATATATTTTTTAAATGTATCATATAAATAGAACTAAGCTAGCCAAAAATATACTACACCTCATCCTTAATATAAAAACTACTTAACTAATTTGGATAGATTAAAAAAGTTAGTTAAATTAGTTATTTGAAACATATATAAGTCAAATTTTATAAAGTATCTTTTTAATCATAATTACCCTTAGATAAGAACTCACTTAATATATGTAATCGATAAGGATAGTTTAGATAATAAATTATAAATTTAAGAGATAGAGACAAAGTAGACTGAGGTTTTATATTAGGACCAAATATAACTTTTAACTAGCTCTTATATTAAGGACAAGAGATAGGAAATATATATTAAACTGATATTTTTGAAATTATCAGTCAATGAAGGGCAAAATAAAAAAAATTGAAGAAATATTCCAAAAAATTCCTGAAAAATATTAAAAAGGTAAATTAGAGGGTTTAGAACCATATTTGAGGCCTTCGAGATGAAAATAGCATAAAAATAATTTATTACAGAATTTTCTGTAAACAAAGGTTTTCCTAGGAAAACAGTAGAAAATTAGTCGGAAACAATTATTTTAAATATGTAGAGGCCTCAATAATTCTGAAAAAATTATAAAAAAATTATTTGGGATTTATTTGAGTTTATAAAATTATTTTCAGGCCCTGAAAGTGAAAGGATTAATTTTAGAATGTTTATGATCGAAATCTTATCGGTAAAGCTTGATTTCGGAGAAAATTCAACACATATAGTTAGAGGTTAAAATAAATCCTAGAAAAATTCAGGAGATCTTCCTATATTAAAATATGATTTTACATGGACAAAAATAAATTTTTGGAGGTCCAGAAATATTATTGAAAATTAGACAGGAATTTTAGTTGATATGGCGAAATCGAGTGAAAAAATATTTAGATATGAAAGGCAATACTTCTTTCTTCTTTCTCCAACCTATTGGACATTATTTTGGGTCAGAAATAAACACTAAATTTGTGGCCCAAGTGGCCCATAAGATTAAGGAGTAAAATATTGCATTTAACATATGATTTTATCCAAATCATAATTGTGCATGAGACACTTGGCTTCATCAGGTTTTCAGTAGCTTAGGAAGGGAGACACATGGCCTTAACACCCCAAAGTTTTAAGGGACACTTGGAGGCATAGGGAGGCCAAAATTCACTCTATAAATACCCCATCTTATACCTTCAAATTTTAGTTATTTTGGCACTTAAAGGGGGGAGGTTTTGCTGCAAAAAAAAAATTGACTTGGAAGAGCTAAAATCACGCTAAGATTGGCCAAAAATTATTAAGCAAGAATCAAGGATTAATCAAGGTATGTTAA